AACCATATTTAGACTTAAGCAAAAGAAACATTAGTAGTTTATTAATTGCATTGAGTTGTTTTTTCTTCTCTTTACCTGCCCTCCTTTCAAGAATCAGGCAGGCAACACATTTAGTTTTGCTTTTCTCCTCTATGGCTCATACACCATCTGCCGTCTCTCTTTAGTGAAGATATTGATCATTTTGAACACCAAACGAACCACTCATGTGTGTTATTTTGTTCTCCTGGTCTTAATCTGTGAAGCCGAATTGCACCGTTCCTCCTATGTATGAGTCCTGTAGGTCGATTAGAATGAAACAGAGGGATTTAAGTGCACCCAGCCATATCTCTTTTTTTCCTCCTAAACCCAATTTATCTTAGATGAGAAACCCCTAATCCAATGCATCACACTCGGATCCCCTTATTTATTTCTATACCTCACCATCTTCAAATGTGAAAGGAAACGGGCAACAAAAGGACGTGATCTTTGGTAAATGGTCAGGGATATGGTTTTGCTTCATGTAGACTCTATATTTTTTCCCTTTCATCCCTATTCTCTCTGTGCTTCTGGCTGATTCTCAGGAGTCTTGGGTCATTTTGTTCCTGACCTGAACAAATAATCGGGATGCTAAATGCACACACAGCCCCGTGCATATCAAAGACCCTGATAAACAAATTCAAATGCCAGCTCGTGTCAGGCCTGCTCGCTCGCTGCTCAGTAGTTATAATGAATCATTATTCCCTTTTAAAGCTAGGGAGAGACATTTCTTGATCCTAATCCCTCCATGAGGCTAAAAACTTATTATTGGATTTGTCTCAATTTAAGATGGTGTTCTCTTTTAATAAGCCTTCAGGGAAAGACGCAACTGGGATTCATTTACCAAAGGCCTCTAAGACTTTCACTCTTCTCACTGATGTTTTCTTTTCTTCTTACTTAACAAGATGCAAAACATTCAAAATAGCCATCTTCTGACTTTTTTTTTAATTTATCGACAAACTCCAGTAGTTTTGAGATCCTTCGTTATTCAATTCATCTTGTGATGCTTTAAAATTACTCGAGAGGCATTTCATGTTCAATCATCTGTTGCATCTTCGCAGACGTAGACAGCAGCACTTTACATTAAGGCTGCTTTCAGGCTGAGCTTTCCTTTGATAAAAAGATCTGGGATATAAAGGTTAATTAGTAATTGGCTTTCATGAACATATGCTAAATGTAAACACATTAATGATGTTTCAGATATTTAGAGGCACAACACACTTTGACTTGAATGACCCAACTCAGGCCACAATGATTAAGAAATAACTGGAAAATGTGCCTTTTTTTACTAAGTTGCAAACATCCCCATTGGTCTCATTAATTGAGCCTTCGTGTTTTTTGACAAGCACAACTTTACCCTGAAACAACTTGTTGGTATCGAGGATTTAGTCCTTCAGAGAGAAAAAAAGACCCTCAAACAAACACTCTTGTTCCCAAGAGGCTTAGGTTACTGACAGATCCAGATTCTTGTTAACAAAAACTGTAAAGTGAGCGTGTTTGATTCCTTTTCAAGTTAAAGCCCTCCCTCTCTCTCCTGCTTTCATTTCTGTTTTTGTTGGTGTTGTGTTTCTCCTGGACACTGAGGACAATATCAATACATTTAAAAGAAAAGACTTCTGAAATGAGATGCTTGGCCCCGGGGCATTCTGCGCCAGTTTTGTTGCGGTGTCGTTCGCATTTTTCTTGTTAGGGGCTCGACATACAGGGAGCGACAAACGACAGCGACAGGTGGCCGTCATCACCACCGGGTTGAAACCCAACACACGGGATGCGATAGCAACAGCGTTGTTGCCAATTTCTCTCTTTGTTCACTTGTCTGCAGAAAATTTGATTAGTTCTTTTTCTTCTTTTAGATTTTATTGATGGTTGGCCAAAAACTGAAAGGTGTGCATTACCGCCACCAACTGGTATGGAGAATTTGATTGGTTAGGAAACTGGAGGATTTTTGGACACTTTCAAAGCAGTCCGTGACAAACAAGTCATCAAGAATGAAGAATCAGAAGACTTTGCTGGAAGTGATTGAAATCTTACTGTTAAGTCTACTCTAATGAAGAAAAAAAAAACCTTGGGTCCTTTCTATATTACAGACAAGGAAGCAGCTTAGTCATCATCATTTCATGGTGGACCTCAAGATTGATCCAGATTAACAAGTTCCCATACTTCTGTCTTTTTATCAGCATTTAAATAATCACTTTGTGAAGTGTCGTATAAAACAGGAAAGTCAGACAAATGAATTCATTCAAATGAATAGAAAGGGAGTGATGTCATCTCCCATGTGTCAAGCCCAGTCATAACAATCCAGAGATTTTGCTACTTGACATTGACAGCAAGCAATTAAGCAAAGAAACTGAGTTTAACATAAAATGTTGTTACCGTTGTTTTCTCAAAAAACCCAATAAAAATAGAATAAAATATTCAGTGTGAAAAGTGCAAAATCTGAAACTATTGGCCTTCTCTGGCTCTTGTTTCTTACTTCATCTTGAGAGTCCATACCTGCATTACAGATTGAACTACAGTCTCATTTAAAATAAAATGTGCAAATAGGGATTTACTGTGAGAAATGAATTATCTGTCAAGAAATGAAACCCAGGAGACCTTCAACACAAAGATGACATGAAAGTGTGAAGGGATTGATCTAAGCCAAGGTGAAAAGCTGTCAGTTGTAACGGTGCTAGGACAGATAGAAATAAGGACTGAATTGGAGAAACGGCAAGAGGGGCTCGAGGAGACACACTGTAAAATGAGCAGAAAACTGGTGAATGTCAGAAAGATGAATAGTAATGGAAAAGATTTGTGCCAATGAGCCTGAATGAAGACTGAGTTGGAAAAGCTAGCCAGAGTGGGTCTACTCAGCCAAGCTGCCCCCTTTCTCAGCATGGAACCCAGACTTATTTCTATCTCATCAACCCCCTCCATCTCTGCAGCTTTCTCTATATTCACTGTCATAAGATGCCATGTCCAGAGCTGAGTCTGTGAATGAGCGATATTACTCCATGCCCAAAACCATCCATCCAAAACTTGCTTCCATTCCTCATCCTATCAATATTTCCTTTTTCTATTTATGTTTTTCTCTGCTACAGTTCACTATCTCTGGGTGGTGTTCACTCTCTTTGGTGCCTGTTGTGTGTTATAATGATTTTCTATTTGAGGGTTGTACCTCCTTTTCCTCTTTCTGTCAACCATCTTGCCCAGTAGGAAGAAGCCACAGGGGTGCCAACACAAGTCAGGCCAAACAGTGGGCATCCAGAATCATAAACTGATTAAACTGTAAATGGATAAAATAAAAACGGATTACCTGATATCCAGAAGGCATAAAGTTAAGTAGGACACAGGTTAGATTTACTAAAGGGAACTATCAGGGATCCATGAGAAACCAATGGCAATACAGTTTCTTTAGCAGGCAAAGTCATTGTTTTTTTTTCTACTCTACCAGTGCTGTAGTCTAGGTTTTGGAAGTAGGTATACTGTAACCGTCACTTCCTACTTGAGTCGCAACCATGACCTATACTGCACATTTCCATTCACACAGTGCACAATATTCACACAGTACACAATATTTATTTCTGAATGGAATGGAGTCTTTGACAAACACAAAACTTAAAGCAATTAATAAGTTTATATTGAAATAAAAAATAGATATAACTGAAATAAAATTACCAAATGTCAACTATTTTCATCATTTTGTGCAAAACTAATTAGTAGGTTAAACATTTTGAATAAGTAGACAAATGCAATAAAATGAATGCCTTATTAATTCATGTCTGAGTTTTTCAACTGCCTGCAGTTGCTTCAGTCGGTTCACTCCGAGCCTTTTCAGAGACCTCATTTTGATTATTTGGCTTTTTCACGAAGCTCAAAATAGTGGTCTGTTTGCGCTTCACTTTTTCACTATGCACCAAAGTCTGCATTGTTTACATAGTGGAATATTTACAAACACTACGTGAGGGTGTGTAGCGCATTTAACGAATTTATACTTGACAAAGTTGAGACATTGAACTGGGCTCGAGAGTGGGCATGCCCATAATCGCATTGACCCCGTTTGTGCATGTTTCACTTTATTTTCACTGGTTATGGTGTAAAGTGCTGCGCCATCTTTTTAGAGAATAGGACTGATATGTGTTTCTACTTGTTTTAAGTGGTTTTACGTAAATCCAAGATACTTTTGTTTTTTAATTAATTTTATTTTTTCAAGTTTAAGGTGTCTTTTGACCATGATTGGCTTTTTTTCCTCTGCCTCCACCAGGGGGTGCTGTGAAAACTTCCGTCTTTCTGCACTAACGGCTAACATCCTTGTTAATGTATGAAAATTACATTTTCAAGCTCTAAGCTTATAAAATGCCAAAACCTTTCTTAGCTCAAATTCAATTTTGCAATAAAACTGGCCGGCCCCTTTCCCCCAAAATAATCTTTATTTTAGCGTTAAATAATCGTTCATTTGAAACTGCGTTCTCGTTTTTATTTATGCTCACATCTGTAGAAAGCATGTGTAAAAAGATACTTGATGAGTCATACGCACAGGCACACACAGGTATGGACGTTTGTGGAGGACAGAGGAGTTTATCTTGATGTCGTCTCAATGGGGGGCAGCTGTGTTCTGATGTATTAATCATCTTGGTCTCTAGCTTGCTAATTAATGACCCATCTGTCCCCACTCACTGATGCTCCACTTCAAGCTCTCTCTCTCTCTCTCTCTCTCTCTCTCTCTCTCTCTCTCTCTCTCTCTCTCATTTGGTCGCAACCAAACACTCGCTCTCCTGATGCAATCTTTTACAAGACAAATATCAACAGTCTAACCAGTGCTCTCTCATCTTCATTTCGAGCCGATGCTTTTTTAAACGTGTATTTTGCAGCTTGTCTCAGCCGCCTCTCTCCAGAGTTGCCCCCTCTTCGGTTTGCTTTGCGTTAACTGGCAGGCGTTGTGCGGTCAGGCTTGTCCGTGCGTGTGTTTATGTGTGCACTTATGTAGGTGTATGTGTGTGTTGTAGGCTTATCAGGTGAGCCCGGGCAGAGTGTCAGATGCGCTAATGGAGGCTTCAAAGACAAGTGCTGTGGTGAGTTCCCTGGCTGCCTTGTACCCAAACCCCTTGCCCCCCCCTCCCTCCCTCCCCACTTTCTCCCCGCATTCCCAGCACCGGGATGCAAAGTGACAGAAATGCACTTCAAGTAGGCCCTGGGATGGATAAGGTAAGGATGCAGGAAGGAGGATGAGCAAGTGGATAAGGAATTAAGTGGGGGTGAAGTCTTACAGACAGCAGACAGACAGTGTAAACCAGACTAAGCGACAGGTTGAGGAAATGATGTAAAGCACAGCCAGAGAAGGAGAGAGGAAAATCAGTCAGGCAGTCAGCCCTTTGGCCAGGTGTTCGTCCAGCCCGCCTCCCCTTCACTTGCATGAGCAGAGCTACTTCAAACACCTGCCGCTTGTCCGCTGCTTTGTTCTGCTGTTCTCTTTGCAGCTGCAAATGTTGTTTTGATGCCACCATCATTGATTTGCTTCATTCTGAATGGAAGTTCCTTCTTGTTTGTTTTTTTCTGGCTTCACATTTGCTTATTTCCATGTTTTATCTTTTGTACTGTTTGAGTGAGTTTATTTATGTCGAGTCTTTTCTTTTGCACCTAATAAACAGTCGAGGTTAAGGAGGACGAAAGTGAGTGTTTGATCATTAAAACTGCCACTGAGTGGTTTTCTTTCTTCCTTTTTTTGCAGAGATCACAGTGTTGTTGACACAACTTTAATGTAAAGACTAATAAGGTTAGACAGTTAGGTTTCTGTGACAGAATCATTTGTAAGATGGCAAGCATTTGAAGAGGTAGTTTGAATCTTTTGAAGTGAGGTTTCTTCAAAACGCTATGAAAAAAATTCATATTTGATCCGTTGTAGATATGTCTTTGAACAGCCTCATAGCCTTTCCACAGAACCACACTTCAACAGATCTGAACTTTTATATTAAAGCTGCTATAAACAATAAGTTACTTGGTAGAATTTTGTTTTGTGTTTTTTATGCTGGATTCTTTGACATCAAATATAAAAACAACGTGAGATCTTTGAAAACATTAAGGTCTTAGGTACGGAGCCCAGCCGGTGACATTGGATAAAAAAAGAATAATCTTGTGGCCATGTGATAATAACAAAAAGTGTTTATTGTCATACAGCGGGTAAAATAAGTATTGAACACGTCACCATTTTTCTCAGTAAATATATTACTAGAGGTGCTAATGACATGAAATTTTCACCAGATGTCGGTAA